TGTCGACACGAATGAAATGACTAATTTCTACTTTTCTTGTATGTAAATTACGAATGTTCTAATTTGAATTTCATCCTTTCAATAAAGCCATTTTCTACGAAGTAGAAATCAAGCATTTTGAAATAATAGAAATTTCACGAATCAGCCAAAACGTTTCGAAAATACTTCAGCGTATTGAAAGTCAATTATTTATAAAATAGAATTTGAATAAAATTTGCGGTCAATGGAAATTTTGACCATTTTGTAATCATTATTCGAAGTTTTCTTCTATTCCTTGTTACTTTAAAAGTCTCTGCATCACGAAGGGCTCGATAATTCTTCAAGCTAGATTGCAACATATCAAAGTCCAATTAAATCCAACTCCAATTTCAGAGTTGACTTAAATTGGAATTGTATTTGAATGGATTTTTGTTTGAATTGGGCTTAGATCTGATACGTTTTAAGACAGAAAATCACTGTCACCTCGACCCATACTCGTAGTTGTGACGATGTTCTGAAAGGAGAAGCATGGATGACGATGTTTGAACAATTTATTACTTTTCTTTATATCATACACTCGCAATGCTTCCACAGACAGTAACCTTTTATATATGCCAGGGAACAGGATAAGCAAAATAAGGAACATACAAAGAAATAGAGGAAAGTAACGAGCGGCGCATCCCAAATAGGGCATAAATAGAACGATCAAGAACGTAGTCTGATATATTAAGAACATTCTGTTAAGAAAATCGTTCTCGTCTAATAGATTCTCATTTCAGCTCCCCCCCCCTCCCTCAGAAAACAATTTCCATTTTGGAGACCTTCAAATGGTCTGAAAGTTATAGAGTATGCTGGTACTGAAGTGAGGAGTCTATGATAAAATTTTCAGCTCCACATCGACATAATTAGGGAGATACAGACCAAACAAGGGTTAAAATTGACTTATCGGATAACTAAAAGTTCGCTTTTTTGGCTTAGTTAACATGCTCATATTTGTTTTGTTTAGAAGAGTACATCAAGACGCAGTACATGACATTGTCCTTTTTTTAAAATCCCTACACAAATGAGAAAAAGTCATCCTAAGTGAAGTTACTCGATAAATAGCAAAAAAGGCGGCAGAACTTGGTTATCGATCATAAATGAGCCTAAAAGAGCCTTTAAAAAAAGGATAACGTCATGTACTGCGTCTTAATGTGCTCTTTGAAACTAAAAAAGATCAATAAGTTGATAGAGCCAAAACAGGGAAATTTTGGATTTCGCTAGAACTTTTGTTGATCCTTGTTTGGACTATATCTTCCTTAGACCTCATGATTTTGCGCTGAAAATTCTATCACAGACTCTGCACGACAGCCCCAACATATCCTTCACAATTCAGCCCATTTGAAGGTTCATAACGCAGAAATCTCAATTTTTGAGTTTTTGAAGAAAATTGACTTTTATGAGGGAAGAGGGGGGGAGCTTTACAAAAACGAAAAATGCATCCGTACTAAACTTTCAGTTGGAATGCGTTAGGGTTGTCAAGTAAAAACAGCAGTTTGCTTTTATGCCTATAATGTTTTAGGACGTCTTTCATCCTTGTTCGCAAACTTTCTCATACAAATGAATCTGCCATCAGTTAACTTGTGCTGTTACTGAATGGATTTGAGACTGCTTTGTAGGTGTCACAGAGCACCTTCGGTCAGATAAACTTGTAGTTACAAAGTCGTGAACATATAATTGAAGCAGACGTAGTAGTGTTGAAGTGTTGAAGTGTTGAATTTTCCATTTCAACTAAGCAAAACTTGTATCTCCTTTACTGCTTAAAACTTCTGATACGGATGATAAACTAACATTTCCAAAAAAACATCTATAAATTCAAAAATTATCTTTAAAATATTTTTAATTTTCGAGATCGAAATTTATTTTTAATTAATGCTTTTGAAAATCAAATCAAATCAAATCAAATATTGCAGATTAATTTAGTAGCAGACTTTATCTCGTCAATTTATAAAATTTTATGCGCATTATTCAAGTCAACTTTGACTTGATGAACCAATCGGGAGCACTTTAAATTCAATTGAAATTCATTTATAGTCAAAAATGTCCCTTTTCCATCCGAAAAAAATTATATGAAATAAATTTTCACTACTTTCAGTTCGGTGAAACTCGTTATATACATTTTTTTAGTTCTTTTGATATTCAAACTTAAACGAATACAAATGTAAAATTTTAAATAAAGCATTAATTAGCCAGAAGTCGGCACCATTCTGCTGTGAATAGAAGTACATGACGAATACCAGTGCCAATCAATATGCGATTGGTAAATCGAAAAATCCATGTAGTGCATATTGGGAAATATATTTTTTGATCATTTGAAGTCCTATAGAAATTCCCCCAATTTTTACATTGTACCAATTTGCAGTGGATATCCATTTGCAGTTATGTTAGCATTTACAGTATGAAGTTTTTTCTGTATTGCAGGTATTTGATTTTTGACTATTCCGAAATGATTCAACGTGGTCTGTAGACCCGACAGAAAACTATCAGATCCACTGTTTAATTACCAAAGAATTAGTCGGAATACCAATAAAAACCAATTAGAATTCCATCGCTTTTCAGCGAAATCCTAACGAACGGATTCGTACCCGAATTAGGTCGCCAGACTCCGATTGGTTGATCTTGCATCCACTCGGCAGTTCTCATAACCGATAGGGTTCGTTCATAAAGAAACATCCGAGCACAAAGGTTTCGAGGTGATGAAATCGATTTTCATCGGAAGATGCTTAACAGACATTCTATAACCAGACCAAGCATCGCTCCAGTAAACAAAGCAGTCGATAAAATTATTTTTCTGTTGCACTTTTAGTTCATTCGATACTTTAGTGTGAAAAACAGTCAACCCTAATATTTTAGCCTCTAACCCGTGTCTGTTGAAAAGCTATCTAGCGCCGACGTTTACCACTCTGATATTTTTGAAAAAACCAAGAAAAAACCCGACTGGAAATAGCCACCTACTTGTCATTTCATAATCCAATAGAAATTGTTGATGCTATATTTCAGTGGAGGATAAAAGTCTGAACAAAATAAAGCTTATTTTTATATTAAAGTATGCAACAAATAAAGTTTTGTAAAGCTGACAAGAATCAAAGAAAGAAGTTTCAGCGAGATAAAAAGACAGTATAACGCGTGCTGTACTTCGAAATCAAGAGATCCCAACCCAAATTTTACATGTGTTGTGTACCTTTCACACTTTTACAAAGTGGTGAAAACATATCCGGGAAGTTACTTTTATATTCATCTGAAAACTCGCTTTACAATATCTGATTTTTCATGGCATTTGATCATTTTTCGAAAACAGTTGAACATATTCGTCAGTTTTTACTTCGAAAAGAAATTGACCAGACAAAATATATATGATTTTTGAAAAAAACCCAAAAATACAATCTATACTCATATACAGTGCTGTTCACAAATATAGAATCACCTCATACTTAGGAATTATCCGACTTCCCATGCGCTCATTAAGGCTCATTTCGAAAGGCTCCTACTTGGGTTTTGTAGAGCGGAGTGTCTTCTTCTAGAATGAATACTTCATCTTTATTATCTGACTTAATTTATCACCAAAACAACCTATTTACAAAAAGTCACGAGTTTTTGCCTGTTCACAATTATAGAATCGATATCGTTTTTTCGTTTTTTTTTTGTGCCGAAGCGA